AATTATGACATATCAATTCCTATTAAGTTATTTTCTAAAAAAATTAAAATAATAGAAGAAGAGAAAAAAATAGTAGTTAAAAATTTTTAATTAAGATTTAGGTAGAAATTAAAAGAGAAGAATTGTTGTATTTAATATAAAAATTAATCTTTATATTAATTAAATTTACATATGTTGATATAATATAAAATTTGTCTAAGAATAATGTCAATACATAATATATATAATAATAAAGTAAGAGAGATATATATAATAAAATAACAAAATTATTTTATAAAATACTTAAATATTTGGTGACATTTTACTTTTCAGATTCTACACAATATTAAAAGTATTTATACAATACTGCACTAAAAATGATTCAATCTTCTAAATCTTCCGTTGTTGTCTTTTGTTCATCATTTTTTGCTTCGTCTTCCTCAAGTTACAATCTAAAAGAAAATATCAAATATAAATTACTAATCTAAGAAATTTGAACAATACATTATAAATTTATAATTTATATATTAATTTTCTCTTTCTTTTTGATAAATTTGGTATTTCCATGGTTAGAGGAAATAGGTGAACAACTTATTGTCAAATCATTTTCTTTTATTTTTGTATTTGTATTATTTAAACCTTCTTCCTTCTCAATATGTAAATATCAAATAATGAAAATAAAATTATTCATCGTTGTATTATAAATATTATAAATGAAAATAATAAAACTCCAATTTAATATTTTATATTACCTTCACTGTCGAGTTTACAATTTTGTTTGCAATAAAATTTTATCTTCCACAATTTTTAAATTAAGTACTCATTTTTATTTGAACAATATATGAAGTGCCAATAATCTTTAAAAGTTGTAAAGACAACTTTAACACTTCACCATCATCTTTAAAAAAATTATCATATAAAAATAGTTATATGTTTTAATATATTTTATTTATATAATCAATTATTTGATTATATTTTTTATAAAGTTAGAAATTAACACATTTGTTTGCAATTTTAGATGTTACAATAAGATCTTTTAACTTTACTTATGCGAATTGTTCAACAACTTTATCAAATAAGATAAATATAGTTGGATTCGTGAAATATTTAAAATCAAACTCAAGACGAAACCTGTAATGCATATAAATTAAGGTCATAATATATAAAAATTAGAATATATAGTAATAAGTTAATTATTTTGTCATTAGATACTCAGCGTCTTTATAACATGATTCACATCTAAAATTTGTAGTTGTGAAAGAAATTTTTTTCTTGCAATGGAGGCAAGAAATATAATACCAACCATTTTTAAGCATTACATCGTTCACAATTGTAATATAACTAATTACGACATTATGAAAATTAGTTTAAAAATTAAATAAGAAGAATAAAGTATAAGAGATTAAACTTATCATATCACTATTTGATTTTGTTATTGTCAAGATTTCGTATATGTTTTTCAAATTTTCTAATTTAGGAAGAATAGTAGATCTTGTATCATTAACATTGTGAGCAATATGCATATCATTAAAATCCCTTCAATAAAAGTGATAATGAATAATTAAAAATATAATTAAAATATAAAGTAAGAATTAGCAATAATTAACGTAACAAAGAGATTTTAAATAATTTTAATACCTGAATGAATCTATAAAAAAATGAGTAACTTCTGGTATGTTAATATTGACATGATTCTATGTTGATCTTGATGTGAAAATATAAATATTACCTATAATACATACACTCATATTTTTTATAATTAAATATCACATATATTTGCACTTTTATTTTTTATTCTTCTGTTGTTGAATTCAGATCGTTAAAAAAAGTTCATTTATCTTCGTTAGAACTTTTTGTTCTCCTACAACATCATGAAAAATATAAAAGTAAATAATTACTTGTGATGAATATAAGAAAATAATAAGAGATTTGATACAAATTAATCAATTAAAAATAAGATTCAATACATTATATTATTTAAAAAATAATACGACTTTATGCCTACTCAAAAAAATAAATTAAAATATATAACACAATTTAGTGAAACAAAATAAAAAATATCAAACTTGAAAATACATGTATTTACGTGGATAAGACATGGTTACAAAATAGAAAGAAAAAATATGACAATAAAAAGAAGGTGAGTAAGTTTTCAAAAGTTGTGTACATATGACTTATATAAGTAGAAAAAAAGTTGTTCCTAAAAATATATGAAAAGTCAAAAAATAAAAAATAAAAAATGTTAAAAAATGTTGTAGTTAATTTTAATAAATGATAATTTAAGACAATTTATAGTATAAATATTTAGGTTGTCATCTGTAATATAATATAACCATCAATTTTAATAATTTTTTTATATACAATTCATCAAATCTAATAAATATTCTTTAAATATAATTCAAAGATAATAAGTATAAATAAAATATAATTTTAATCAGTAAGTTTTACGTTTCAAATTTTAATACAGAGAGTAATAATTAGATGCAGTTAATATGAGTGACTTTATAGGTTCTAAATTAATTCTTTAAATACAATTCAAAGATAAATAAGTATGAATAAAATATAATTTTAATTCATAAGTTATACGTTTCAAATTTTAATGCATACAATAATAAGTGAGTACACATAAGAGTGACTTTATAGATTCCAAATTTTAATGTATAGAGTAATAAATAAGTGTAGTCAATTTTATATATAAATATAAATAGATAGATATAGATATAGATATAAATAAATACACATATATAGATTTGAGAGCCGTTACACTTAACTTAAATTTATCCTGTTTAAGTATATTAATCAAATCCTGTTCAGTTTATTTGTTCTGACCCAATAACTGACCAAAAAAGGGAATGGACGTGGCGAAGTTTTAGCGAGCATGTGTTTCTTATTTTTATATTGGGCCAGCAATAAATCGAGCCCAATAGAGTCTTTATTTTTCTTATCATTTATTCTTCATGTTATTTTAAAAAAAAAAAGAACTTCATGTTATTAAGTAACTTTTTACTCAATAAAATGCTATTAGCTAATTTTAAACAATAATAAATTAAAATTATTGTTCAAATTTAGTCTTTATTTATTATTATTTTGCATCATGTGAATATCATTCTCTGCTTAAATTTGTTGATTTTCAATTTCAATTTTAAATTGGCCAATTATGTTATTTAACTAAAGGATTTTTTTAATACACGTTTGTTATATGTTATTGATGTTTTCACCTCTCGATAGCAAATCTCACTCTTTCAAGGTTAAGGCATTTCGATAATTTTTCTCTTCCATTCTTCTCCTTGCTGCATTGACAATGCCATTTTCTATCCACCATTTGATTTTCTCCTTCTCACTAATACTATCCATACTCAATTTCACCCAATAATCAACTAATTTTGAACGGATTGGATCATTTGGGTTTCAACTCAACAAATCTCGACCGATGAGTAGCCCAAACTATGTTTTATACATATATACATAAAATAATTTAATTTCAATGTATGGAATTATTTAATGACGCTACTTTGACACATAATTAATAATTTCATAATTATTGACGGTGTTAGGCTTATTGAATTATTTAATAATAAAATACTGTATACATAATTTTATACTTATGGAACATCAAAACTTCAATTCAGAAAAAGATGATAGATTAAATTTGGTGCAATCATGATAATGATCTGTGCGACTATTATTACTTCATACTGGGGTGCCTCCAGAAGATACAAAACTGAAATGACCTAGCACCACATGAATTTTCAATTGATGTGGGTCGCCATGTGTAAGATTATTTGCTTCAGTGCTTTTACATTGTTCCTCCGAATAATCATATTGGAGATTTTTTCAAAAGCATATTGTTAATGCGCAATCCCCTTATTTATTGAGCTTTCAACGGAGTATTAATTACCGAAGAAGAACAATTCTCTCGAGTTCAGGTTTCTCCATAGTATATTATACAAATTTTGGGGGAAAAAAACTGGGTAATGGATCCTTATTTTCTTAAATAAAACTTCCAATTAAATTCAGGAATAAAAAAAAAAAGTGAGGAAACTTTACTCTCTTAAGAATATTTATATGACATAACTCAGAATAATTATAATTTAAATTGACTTTCAAAAAACTGGGTAAAATCTATTATACTATTGTACTCCTATGATTGAGAAAGTATAATATTTTTTTTACATGTAAAACAATCGTTAATATTAAATTTATATTAATAGATAATAAAATTAATGATTTAATTAAAAAATACGTTAATATATAATTTTTAAAATATTAAAAGAATAATAATTGTTAATATAAAAAAATATAAAATACTGTCTAAAATTTACGTGTATTGTAACAAGCAACTTTTAACGGTTAACATATACAGTTTTACACATTTATTTAATATTTTTATTCTTCTAATAAATATTATTATAACACTTGTTATTACAACCGGTTGACTGATATAAATAGAAATAATATTTTCAGAGGATAAATTTACAAGGATTCATTTTTTTTGGGCCTAAGGCCTCCATTATTTAAATATTATATTTATCATCAGAATAATTTGTAGTAATTAGTTAAATAAAATTATCACGAGTGACATTTTTATAGTTTCTAATATAATTACATTTTGAGAAAATCGTACTCGAGATTATTGAGTTAGAGCAATTCTCTACCAACTAAGCCTTGGGTGGTATATCTATGTAGTCTTCAAAAGATAAAATCCAATCTCTCTCACTATTCATTTACTTCTATCTTTCATTTTTTTTTTAATTTTCGAAAAAAAAGCAGAGGATTTACACGAAGGCATTGTGATCTTAATCATAAATTAAATATAGTTTTTGTTGTTAGTTTGTTATTTTTCAAAATGTACATATCTAAACTCAGTGGGACTAAATTGGTATTAGATAATATTAGAATAACTAACAGTTACATTTTCAGTGGGATTCAGTCAAATCCTTGGAGTGGTATAAATAGTTATTTTCACAGCATTTGTGGTGAAAAAAACACCAAGCGTGTGTGTGGTTTATTGCTATATTGTTATGGAGATTGATCTCTCACCCCAGTTGGCGAAGAAGGTGTACGATGGCAATGGTGGGTCTTATTATGCTTGGTCCCCTTCTGAGCTTCCCATGTTGCGTGAAGGGAACATTGGTGCTGCCAAGTTAGCTCTTGAAAAGAATGGTTTTGCCCTTCCTCGTTACTCTGACTCTTCCAAGGTTGCATACGTTTTGCAAGGTGGAGTTACATAACCATTTTCTCTTTTGATGTCTAAATTGATTCCTTTACACCTTTTATGATCTACTTAATGAACGAACGAATTTTAAAGATAAAAGATATGCCTTTTCATTATTCACGATTGAAGATCCTTTTTTTAATATCTCACTTCTAAAATTGTCATTAATTTTAAGCGTTTTACATGTTGGGTTTAGATCGTTGCGCTTATCTTTTAATGATTGTATAAATATAAATAGAATTTAACTGGAATACGCTTTGTCATCCAATTATGTATTATTACATTAATAAGAATTATTAATTTTTTATAATAGTTAATTTAAAAATTATATTTGTACTTTAATTGATAAATAATGAAGTTTTTTTATTAAGAAATCAAAACTATAATCTGTTCAATACACCCTTATCATAATTTGTAATAAAAATATTCGATCTACTAATTATTTACCCATTACTCTAGCAAAACTGATGTAAAATTTAAAGAAAGATTTACTCTGATTATTATAGTGATTCTGTCTCTTACATATTGGTTGGTTTTAAAAAAATTTAATTGTGAACTTGTCAAAACAGGAAGTGGAGTTGCTGGAATTGTGCTCCCTGAATCAGAAGAGAAAGTTGTTGCAATTAAAAAGGGTGATGCTTTGGCGCTCCCTTTTGGTGTGGTGACATGGTGGTGTAACAAGGAGGAAACTGAGTTGGTTGTTCTATTCCTCGGTGATACTTCAAAAGCTCACAAGGCTGGTGAATTTACAGACTTTTTTCTAACTGGTTCTAATGGAATCTTCACGGGATTTTCATCTGAGTTTGTGGGAAGAGCTTGGGACTTGGAAGAGAAGGATGTGAAGACCCTTGTTGAAAAACAATCAGGTAAGGGTATTGTGAAGCTTGATGGAACTATCGACCTTCCTCAGCCTAAAGAGGAACATAGGAAAGGCATGGCTTTGAACTGTGAAGAGGCTCCGTTAGATGTTGACATTAAGAATGGTGGAAGGGTTGTAGTGTTGAACACCAAGAACCTTCCCTTGGTTGGTGAGGTTGGTCTTGGAGCAGATCTTGTGAGGTTAGATGGAAAAGCCATGTGTTCTCCTGGATTCTCTTGTGACTCTGCATTGCAAGTTACTTACGTAGTAAAAGGGAGTGGTCGTGTTCAGGTTGTTGGTGTGGATGGTCGTAGGGTGTTGGAGACAACTCTGAAAGCTGGTAATTTGTTCATTGTGCCAAGGTTTTTTGTTGTCTCAAAGATTGCAGACCCTGATGGAATGGAGTGGTTCTCTATCATCACTACCCCTAAGTAACCTTCTCTTACTTTATTAACCTTATTGTCAAGGATTTGTCTGATAACGTGTTTGTTTCTATGTTAACTTTCAACCAACAAAATTATAGCTTTCACGTTAAAAATACACCAAGTTATTTCATAAAATAAATATGAAATTCTAGGTAGACTAACAAAATTAATACATTACATTGGAGGTTGTATTAACATTTTTATTTAACTTTTTATTGACAAAATCTCATTAATCTTGAGATCTGATTGTTATCCATTGTTGCTATAACATCTGATTAGAGAGGCGCTCATCTCTGTCTAATTGCGTACATCAAGTTTTGAATATTTTGTGCTCACCATTTTTGTGTGTCAATCTTGATGTTTAGAAAATTCACTTTTAACATAATATCTCGATTAGTTACCATTTAGTGATTGTGCTAATGATGCTAGTACCCGTTTTCTCCTACCAGGGTAATTTAAGCAATCTTCTTTTACTTGTAGTGGAGTGCTAGCATATTAGTTTGAACTTTCTAACCCAATTTTGTAAGTCATAACTCAACAATTTTCTGTTAAGAGTAAAAATTGTGCTGAAAGTGTTACTTATTGTTACCGTTTCTTGTCTTTGCTTGTATTGTAGTAATTGTCAACAACATATCATGCTTATAGAATCTAACAATTCTTATGATTGTGGTTGTGTCAGCCCTATATTTACACACCTGGCTGGAAGTTCTTCGGTGTGGAAGGCTCTATCACCTACGGTTCTGCAAGTTGCTTTCAATGTAGATGCAGGAGTAGAGCAACTCTTCCGTTCAAAGAGAACTGCTGATGCCATTTTCTTCCCACCTCCAAGTTAAAGTAGAATAAACATAGCATTATTAATTTGTCTTGTAACGTTTTGGTTTGAGGTCAATTTATCTAGTAGAGCTGTTTGATTTAGTTTGAAGCGTTTAATGGAGTGTTATTTAATTATATACATTTCTTTTGGGTTTTTAAGGAACTGATTGCCTTTGTTTTTTGTTTTTCAATTTGATCTTCTTTTTTTTTTGGTCAAATTTAATCTTTATTTACATTCGTCCTTATACCTTTCTGAGACAACAAGAGCTTTAAAAAATAATGAAGCAACATAAAGTTGTTCTATTTTTAATCGACTTGGGTGTCAGAAATACTAAAATATAAGATTTGAGTCCATCCAGAAAGGAAGATTTTGATATTAGAAGGGCATTGAAAGAGAACCATAGAAAGATACAATATTTTATGACAAATATATGTATTCGGAAGTCATTCTTTAAATTTGATTTAAATACTAGCTTAATTTAATTGAAGGGTATTATTGACCCAAGTTTTAGTATCAGCGGTCAACTGGTCTAAACCATTTTTTTAATGGTTGAATTCATGCAGTAAAATCATTGTTTTTAGCTGAAGCAGGAGACATAAAGCCCAACACACACAAAACTACAATACTGGTCTAGAAAAATAAGTCCCACTAAAATGATACAGTAAAATCATTTTGAGTGTAATGAGTCCAGACTTTGTTATTATATTTTTTATATATAAAAATAATGACTGATATTATTATATTAAAAATGATGTTACTAAAGGATATTTTTTTGGTATAAAAATAATTAAGGAGATAATAACTAATAATTTCCTAAAATATTGAAAATTAAAAATAGAAAATTATAGCAAATTCTAAACTTAAACATTATTTGATGAAATTTTAAAATGATAAAATATTAAGATAAAATATTTATTAGATACTTATGTTCTAGTTAAATAAATTATAAACTAATTAGAATGATTTGTCAACATAATTCATATTTTTTTTTAATAGTGACTCTCTTTTCATTAAGGGGTGATTTTCTTGTGTGTTCTTAGTTGGCATGATGATATATTATGTTTGGATAAATATTTTAATTAAAACATTATTTAATAGATTAATACTGTAAATGAACTTATATTGTAAATTTTATTCAAAAACTTAGTAACATAGATTAAAAAAATTTATAATCATAAATAGTTTTTATAAATTTAAAATTTTAATAAAGTTAAAAAATTCTAATTTTATTTTGAACTTTCTAATTCATCGTAGAAAAGTTAAATTGAACAAGTTTCTTTTATATTAAAAATCTGAATTGCGATATTCTTAGATAAAGTTTCATGTGAGGAGTGTGTATAGATTAATCTCACTTAGGAGTGAGCATAAATTGATGATGCAAGTTTTAATTGTTTAAACTGAAATTTACTTATAAAATTAATTAATTTATCTTAAATTTTAGTTGAATAAAGTTATAAATTCAATCATATATAAATTTATTTAATCAGAATCAGACGAAGATTGCTGACTTATAGATAATCGAACCCCTCTGATTGATTCTTCAAATTAAATGGTTATGATAACAATATTGCTTCTTTTCCTTTTTGGTTTACCTTCCTATAATCTAATTCAACATCTAGGATAATGTTCTGCAAATGTCATAAAGGACCAAAGCAAACTAGCTCTGCATCTATTCGCCTGATCTCCCAGTAGTGATACACAATTGAGACTTTAAAGAACTTTTTGAGTTTAACTTAAGGATTCATAAATAGACTGCAATACCATTTAAAGTAGTTGAGTCATTGCATCATTCAGTTTCAGAGAAGTGAATACTCTACTAGAAAGTCAACCATCCCCTCGAACTCCAATAGTTCTACAAGAAAACAATGTAACTTTAGAGGCTTCAACCTCTTGAGAGTATACATCTTTAATTTTACAAAGAGGAAAGGATTCAATAGCCATTGTAGTACTGATTCCTGTACTTTATCTTGACTTCATGGTATTTCATCTTATCCTTACCTCTCGATGATTTGCTTTATCTTTATTGTTTAAATTGGTGAAAAATCATCCATCTAACCTGATACGTCTAACTCGATACACTTATCACCCGTCTAACTCATAATTATTCGGCAAAAGTGATTTAAATTATTAAAAAATTCAATTGTTTCAGTTTCATATTTTTGAATTCAAACCAAACCTGAATCTACCCATACTTGATTGCAATGCAACCTTATTTTTACTGTTCAATTTTATTAAAATATATTATTTAATAAATTTTATATTATAATAATATATTTGTTCATTAAAATTTAATAAAATGATAATGTGACGTGAAATTGAAATATAAATATGAAATTTAACAAATTAATAGTTAGAAATAAAAAACATCATCAATTTTAGTAGAAAAAAATTTAAAAAAAATAATTTTATGATTTATTGTGAACATATATAATATTATATTTTGTTATTAATTATTTTCTTTTAAAATAATAATAATTCAAATCTAACAAGTCTTTTTTCATCAATATAATATAATAAAATACACAAGTTTAGAGTTGATTATTTTTTATTCAATTTTTTTAATTTTAAGTAAATACATTCATTTATTAAAACAAAAAGTTAACATTAATTTTGTGTTTTACTTATTATTTATTTATTTAATATTATAAATAAAATATAATTGTTGTAATTTTAAAATGGGGCATTGGAATCTCCGAAGAGAATGAGTATCCACTGCCCGACTCTATTTCAAAGCTTTCGCGCCTCCCAAGGCATTTCTCAGGTTCCTCCCCTTCCTCTCTTCCGGTTTTCATTGTTCAGCTTTAACAAACACGCTCCCGATTCCGCATTCTTCTCCGATGAGGATTTCCTCCTTCATGATCTTGATGCATTGACCGCTTTTGCAGACAATCACGCTACTCCACTTCGATTGAAGAAGGTTAGGGTTGCGTTACCTAGTTATCATTTTTTATTATACGTTTCATTAATTATGTTGTTAAGTAGACTTAAATACAATTTTCGTCTTGGCACGTTTTGAAATAAGTTTTTCTTTTAGAATTTAAATGTTAAGCAATTATGAATTAATATCTACCGTTAATTCATTCTCTGTTAAATATTGACAGAGTTAACTCTGTCACATGCTCTCACTTATTACATGTTATTTAATTATTTAAAATTAATTTTAAATATATTTTAGTTCTAATACATTTTTTTATAAATTTTTTATTAAGATTTAATTCTTGAAATATTAAATTTTAAAAATTATTACAAAAAGTACTATTTTTATAAGAATCAATTTTTTTAATTGTTATTTAATTGTTTTTTTTAATTATACGTTTTTTTTACTAATTATGTTATTAAATTAATTAATAACTATGAATATGTACGAAGGGAATTAATCAACTTGTCTGAATAATAGATGCTCTTCATCCATCGTTGCTAAACGGTTTTCAGCTCTTGGAAGATGCTCAGCGGAATAAACGTGTTTTCTCCACTGGATGTAAAAGGTACTTTCAGATCGACGTGTGGTTCATATTGTTTTGGAGTGTTTGTTGTAACTGGGTTTCTTAAAAAGGTCGAATAAAAATTTCTAAAAATAAAAAGTGAAAATAAATTTATTGAACAAGCATTTCATGAAAAGTTACTCATCACAATTTTTTTTCACTCATAAATGAATAAATTATAAGTAAATATCCTATCTTCTAATTCAAATACAATTTGATTTTTTTTTTCAATATAAAGGTATAAAAATTGTTAGATTTTTGTTACAATTTTTAAATAATGGTTGAAGCTTTCAGTCGCAAAAGTATAATATTTTGTCATATAATATAAAATGAAAAGGACTGTAATACCCTCATTATTTGAAATTTACTTTAGATTTTAATTAACATGAGTATGTTTAGAAGAGCTCCACGTGATTTTGTAGAATTGATTATGAGTAAACATAATTTAAAACTAACTCCATTTTTATTTGGACGAGTATAGAAAAAGTGATTTTGACATAAATATCATTTGGATGATTCTATCTATAATTACTTTTTAAGTGCATAAGTACTAAAATAGATTTTAGTGTCCATTTATAATTGAAAAGAAAAAACAAAATTTGTGATATACATTAAGTTGGATAAAAATTTAAATAATATCCATATTAAAATTAAATTAAAAGTATATCAAATAAGATTTGTAATTCATGTTGACTTAACTTTTTAAATAAAATGTTTATAGTCATATTAAATATTTCCAAATTAGATTAAATAAATAATAAAAGTAATAAATTAACATAACCATGCAATATGTGTAAATAACATAGGTGAAAAATGGCTGAAATTGTACAAAAATTTACATACTAAATTTGCTAAGGCAATAAACATCTTGCTCCAGTGAAAAAATGACAAAAGACAAATTACCTTTAGGATATATTCGCTTAAAGCCAGAACACCTTCGCATAATTTAAAAGCTGAATTTGTTTAAGTTAGATATTTTTGTTTAAGTGAATTTACCGGAAAATCTAAACTTTAATACAATTAGAAACAACATTCATTTCAAAAAAGAGGAAACAAATTCTTAAATGAGTGGTTGGTGAAGTTTGAAGAAGGCACAAATATGAGTTCACCTTTTCAGGATTTTGATCAGATATGAAGTTGGTAAGCATCTCATATATGGTGGTTGATGAATAAGGGTAAATGAGGGATTAGAATCACAAACCAAAACTCACGCCCTTGAGCTGGATCTAAAAGCTGCTCCAAGTAGTGTTCAATGTGGGATCCAAAACACAAACCAGACGTGAGTCCTTCTTCTGTTCCCCAAATAAAACAGCCATGGCATTACCTACGTTTAACCAGCTTGGATGCGCGTTTCCTTCTCCTGAACGCCCATATAAACACAGGCTGAGTCTAGCTAGATGGACTCTCAAAGTAGAGTAAAACTTTCATAGTTTTATTGGACTGCAATAGTTTTTGGGTGCTTATCATTACAACTAACAAAGGATGCCTCCATACACTGAACAAGAACAAGAACAAGGTACACCCTTTATTTAAAGCCATAATCAAACTACATACCAATTCAAAAGATGAATTAGCTTCCAAGCATTTCAAGTGGTTTGCAGCCGAACCTTTCAACAGGAACACCCTCCAAGTCATGAGCCCTTGGAGCCGTCAAACCTGGCCTCTCATCCACATCAATCACCATATTATCACCCTTCAGAACCACACCTTTGGAATCCATCACCTGAAAATCAAAGCACTGGATAATAGCCCCAAGCAGTGCTGGCACTAGCTGCATGGCTAGATTTACTCCAGGGCACATCCTCCTGCCAGACCCAAATGGCAAAAGTTGAAAATGCTGACCCCTTACATCCATGGGAGTGGAATCCCCTTCGCCAAGATTTAAGAATCTTTCAGGACGAAACTCCAATGGATTGTCCCAATTATTTGGGTCTCTTCCAATGGCCCAAACATTCACAAAGACTAGTGCGTCTTTTGGAATGACATAATTTTCAATCTTACATTCTGTCACACATCTTCTAACAACCAAAGGCACTGGTGGGTGTATACGATATGCTTCCTTAACAATGGCTTGGAGGTAAGGTAGATTTGCACAATCGGATTCTTCAACAAGTCTATTCTTTCCCACGACGTTGTCGATCTCTTCTCGAGCTTGTTTTAGGGACGAAGGGTTCTTGATGAGTTCCACTAATGCCCATTCTGTTGAAATGGACGTGGTATCCGTCCCTGCAGCGAAGAAATCCTGCGAAACCCATGACATTGAGAGTAATGAATGCTTATTCATTGACGTGATTTCAGAAGTAAGAATTTTATATCCTTTTAATATAATGTATGAGAATACAAAGATTTAATATTTGAAAATCTAAAAAATATAAACATTTCTTTAAAAAGTTAAGAAAGTAGTTTTAAAAAAATTAGAAAGGGCATTTGTGTATAAAAAGTGTTAGAAATATCTTATTTTTATCACTTATTTTCTATTTTATTAAAAATTATAAAAAGTATGAATAACAAAAAATAGTAATATAAAATTATTATTTTTTTATTGTATGAAAATTATTTTTAATCTTTCATAAAGTATTAACTAAAAATAAAAACCAAACACCCATTAAAAATGAATCAACCATTCGGTTTAAAAATATTTTCCTAGATGGTGCACGCCACTGAGAAATCTAACAATTAACACAATTGTTAGAAAGTGCATAAAATAATAACTAACAACAATTCGAAAGTTCATAACAATCTATCGTTGATATATAGTTACACTAGATCTTTTCATTTAACTTAATAGTTATAATTTATTAATTAAATATTAAAATTTTTAAATTTATATTACTATAAAAAAAATAATATTTATATATATATATATATATATATATATAGGATTTATTGATACTAGATGTAAGTTTAAAAAGACTTACATTAAATCTTAATTATACAAATCAAATAATCTAACGATTGAAAAGTTACTTTGTAAGTAATTTTTTAACTGTTAAATTATTTAATTTGTATAATTAGAATTTAGTATATATATATATATATATATATAACTTTTGTAAGAAAAAATCTTTGTAAACTAAGTTAAAAATTTAAATATACACCCAAATTTGTTAAGAAAAAACTCATTTTAATATAAAAAATAAGAAATTTAAGCTATATAATCATACATAAATAGTTAAAACTAAAAATTTAATTAAAATATATAACATTTTAAAAATTATATAATTTTTTTAAACTTGTTTATATATTCTATTTTATATTTATTTTTTAGTCATTTCTAAATCTGAATATTTTATTACTTGAATTTGTTTAATTTAATTAATAAATATTAAAAAACATATTTATTACACTTGAGACTCAAATCAAACTTGCAAGTGGGTTGAAATTTTTTTTATCTTATCCAACACACGTGATTTATTTTATTAATTTTTAAAAAATTTTGTTAACCTCAACACGATAATAAACAACTAATAATAATAAAAATTTATTAAAAAAATATTTATTATATTTTTATAACTTCAAAATAATAATTATGTATTTTTGTATAAAAAATTTTATTTGTAAATGTTTAAACTCACTCTAGAGTTGAGGTTAACAAAACCTATTTTTAAAATATAAATAATTAACATGACATACTTTTTTGACACTTTTTATAAAATAAAATAAAATATTTTTTAATTTTAATTATAAAAAATATGATAAATTTGAAGTGTATTAATTATTAATTTTTATTATTATTAAATATTTATTTATGAGATAATAATTATATTAATATTATAAATGTTTTTAAAATAAAATTTATATTTATAAAAATATAATTGGTTTATTTATTTTTTAATTATAATAATTTAATTTTTATTTCTTATAAAAAGGATATGTGTTAGTTATTTATAATTATTTTTTGCCCTTTCATAACGTGAGTCGCGTGGGAGCAATTAGTCATTGTTTTTAGTAATAGACGGGGCACAGTAGCTCAAAGACCAAGAAACAGAAAGACAGCAATAATATTTTGGTTGGTGCAGTTTTTTCGACGTGTAATCAATAGCACACAACTCTATAATAATACTAATAATTTATTATAAATTTTAACATTAACATATATTGCATAATTTTTAATGCATTACATTTTTTTATTAAATGTTATTTAAACATTTATTAAAAAAAAGCTTTACAAATTATGTATAAATATTTCTATATATTAATTATATTTGTTTTTTCATTGACATGCATCTAAAAGGTAGATTTCAAAATCAATGTAGTTTTTTCTATAACATTTGAATAACATTCTCGTTTTATCTTCTTCTTTATCTAACAAACAATTGTGAGCGAGATATTTTTTTTCAAATTAATTATATTTCTCAATTTGTGAGCATTTAATTTTGTAAAGAAGAGAGAAAAAAAAATATATGGGACAGAAGATTTACTTGATCATGCAAGTAGTTTCAGGGTACTTAGCATCATACTTGTGATAAACAAGCAATAAAACTAAGCAAAATGTTTTCAAGAGTTAAGAAAACAAGGATAACAAAGCAAATTAAAGAGATTTACCATGACTAAGGCCTTGATGTGACTCCTGTTAATTTTCACCTCGGCGCTCTGATCCTGGGCACAATCAAGCAAAATATCAAGAAAGTCTCTGAACTCAGCCTCATCCCTCCCACTCCCTCCATTCTCCACCGCTTTGTTTTTCCTCATCTCCTCGCGTTTGCTAATAACCCTTTCCACCAACGTATCATACTTCTGATACAATTCCTCTGTCCGTTTCCCAAACCCCTGGATGTCAAAATTCTTAAACAACCAAATGAAATCCGAAATATTAAACTCCCCGAAGATCTGGGTGACATCACGCACCACATCGCATACTTCCTCTACCTCCCCCAACATCATCCTAGAAATAATGCTATTTGTCAACTTAAGCAACTCCTCCGTCACATTCACGGCTTCACAAGCCTTAGCTTTCTGGGTCAATAACCTTATAAGTCTGCGAGTCTCTTGTGCACGCAAGTGTTGGAAGTTGTTGACGCTACGAGAGCTCAATAACTCGTTCATGCACAGCTTCTTCATGAAGCGCCAGTAGTCACCATAGGGTGCAAAAGCAAGAGAACACTCGTAATTGAAACATTTTACGGCGTTGTTTACAATGCGACAGCTAAATGCAAGCTCGTTGTTTTGAAGGAATTGCTTTGCGAAGTGAGGGGAGGAAACGAAAACGCAGGGAACGGAACCAAGGTGAAGAGAGAACAAGGGTCCGTAACTGAGGGAGAGACGGTGGAAGGACTGGTGGAGGAGGGGTCCCAAGAGGTGCATGTGCCCAATAATTGGAAGCCGCAACCGTGGAGAGGGTGGTAGTTGGCGGCTGTTGCGGCTGGAAAGGAAGTAAAGTAAAAGTGACGCAAGCAAAAAAGAGATCAGGCAAAATTGAAGATCCATTTTCGTTGTCACAGATCTAGGTTTTGCTGGTCGCTTTATGGGGTTTATATACCAGAACGAATCTAAAATTGACCAAAATGTCCTGATCTAATTCATGTGACGCGTCCTTTACTTCCTTTGTGTAAACTGAACCGAATAATTTGTAATTCAATTAATTTTCCTTTTTTGTAAATCACAGAAATATAATTTAAGGATAGTATGTTTGAAGATTATCAAATATTCATTTTCAGACTGTTTCAACTATTACTGTTTTGTTATAGCATGATATTAAAAACATTTACAGAGTCTAAATTATTTACAATTGTTTATTTCAAAGAGAATACGTCTTAATCACATTTGATATTGTTTACATTTTGATCATAAATAAAATTGAACTAATCAATGCTTCTACTCATGCATATCTAAACAAAAATTGTGAGCAAATTTAGTCAACAAAGTTAATAATTTTGAAGTAGAAAAGTATAAATAATTAAATCTAATTTAACATATTTCATCGTAAGTGAATAATGATGAGTAACAATAGTGGCGATATATCAAAAGGGTTGTTTGATGGACATCTAAATCCTATTCTCGTTTCAGTTTGTTGGTCTTCCAACAGAGAAAAAGGAAGAAAATTTCGCTCTTTTGGGAGTCACCGACAAATTGACCATGACAAGCAAAACTAATCCTTTGAACTTTGTTTTAGAATATGACGTTTGAGAATAATTACTTGAATGCTTTTAATGATGTTTCAATCTATTCACGACAGAGATTATACTTCTGGAGTGAAAATAGTGTGGGCTGAAAATTTTTGTTTGGACCGTAGGAAACATTGGAGGCAAAGTTTTCATTCGTGCAAGTGGATGGAGGAATTTTTTTCTTCTTCTATTTTTTTAAACTTATATCAACATTTTTTTAGTTCAAGTTTTAGTATTTCTAGCAAGGGTACTTTGATCTAGAAAAAAAATAATATTAATTTCGTAATGTTTATAAGCAATTTTCTTAATCACATATAATAATGAGAAATCAAGTTTAGGCTGTTCTTAATTCGTGAAAAATGGAAAAAACAAAAAGATTTACCGTTTGTCAACAAAGTTAGACAGATTTCAAGAGACTGAATGCCGTGCATGTGGAACACATCCGTTCTTTTCCGTTTGTTTTTCGGTCAATCGTTCTTTTCCGTTCAAATATGAAGTTTGCATGCAAAGAACCCAACTGGTTATTTGCCAGGGATCTGATTTCAAAGTTTGAAATTCATTGTTCAAATCGGTGCCAGCTCAAACTGAATTTAAAATTAATTTTTTAAACTAAAATCAAAATTTAAATCAATTTTAAGAAAAATAAAATAAAATTATTTAAAAACATAATTGTATAATTAATTTAAGAATAAATTTGAATTAGTTTTTCGTCAAACCCATTCATGCCTAACCTCGTACTTTCAAGGAGTGAAATCTGTTCCCAGCCAACGAAAACTCAGATTATGTAGCAGTTTGTCTCAATCCGCATAGATAATCCACGAAGAGGCAGATTTTTCCTTTTTAAATTAGTTTATATCCCTATAATGCATGAGCTTATAAAATGTGTAACATTACACTGTATTTTAATAATAAAAAATTATTTACAAAAGAAATACTTAAAAATTTATTTAATATCAATTTGAGTGTGAGTCTATGTTTGGTAAAGGTATATTATAATTTATTTAAGAACTCGTAGTATATTAATTCGGTCGGTAAATTTGTAGAGTAGTTTAGTAGATAAAATATAAAAGAACTTTTAATTTATGAAATTTAATTATTTAGAAAATATTTAAATTTAAAAAATTATTACTATTTTTATTAATTTTTTAAGTAACTTATCATTCATATGATTAAATTTTTTTTATTTTTTTCACTTTCACAAAAAATCAAGGTCTTTTTTATATAAATAAAATTTATATTCAAATCATTTTTTATATTAACATTTATTATTAAATTTTTTTTATCTTTTACATAATTAAATTTATGTTTTTCAAGTAATAAATATCTGAAAGATAAATATATTATTGCTCAATGTTATTTAATTTTAATATTACATAATATAATACTGCATAAAGTCATTCAACATGAATAGATTAGTTACATAATTATTTATATATTTATAAAGTTCAGCTCACAACTTTTAATTAGCTTTACGTCTATAAGTTACAACCTTATATCTTTTAGCTCATTTTATCAAACAAATTCTAAATATATAATTTTAAATGAATAATTTTCTCTTTAAATTGAAGTATTTAACATTTTTTTAACTCATAAACTTATTAATTATTTATATCAAAACATACAAAATAATAAAATAAATAATTTATATTACTTTTAATTAAAATTAAAACTTTATTTTGATAATTCATTATAATTTTAAATATAATTTTTATCAAAGTAAATATTTAATTTTAATTCAAAATAACTCTGAAAGTCCATGAAAAGGATGTACTGAATTTTAAAATATGTTTTGAAATATAAATTTATAATGTTTTAATAAATTATTAGAGCTATTTAGTAAAATAAATAATATAGAGAACTTATAATTTTATAAAACTAGTTTATAAAAGATAATTTTAAATATATATTTATTTTAAAAATTTTAAATAGTATTACATAAAATAATTATCACACTTAATTTTATTTATATAATACATTTTAACTAGTTATACCGATAATTTTATTAAATAATTATAATTCAACTGATGAATTATAAACTATAATTTTTTAGTTATAAACTATAAAATTTAACTAACTAATATATAAGTTATAAAATTTTAAGTAGTTTTACTGAAATAAATCTTTCTCATCATTAAGTTTCTTGCCTAACTCCTAAATAAATACATTATCTTTTAAAAAAAAATTGCTTTCAAAGGGTAGAGTTGCATAATATTATTCCTCCATGTACGAAGAAAAAAGTATTTTTGGAAAACTCGCTTCTGTCTGTTCCACGTACGAAGCGTCAATATTACATGTCCTTCATTTTTAATAAGCCTAGAAGATTTTGTACAGCGACCACGACACTTTTGACATGTTTCTTCAAGTACAGAAAATATTCGATCTCAGACTCGAGAATGATAATTGGTTTCTATTCGAAAGAAAATGATCGTACGAGGATATTTTCTTGCTTACCTCGTGGGAGACTGTAGACACTTCCGTTCATATTTTTAACGGGCTAAAAACTCACTTTAATCTTATATTTTAATTTTGAAAATATCATTTTTTTTTTATTTATCTATCATTTTAATCTTTTAAGTTATATATCATTAAAGTAACAAAATACTGATACGTTGTTGGAAATCAAACTAAAAGCGAAGGACAGAATAGGAAAAAAAATGCATGACAATCCAAAGGAATTAAAAAATATTAAAAGGGACGGTGAGTGAAATGAGTAAAAGGAAGTGCTCTAAATCAAAGAGAGAGAGGGGTAAAGAATGTCCATCTAAGTATGGGCACTCAGTGAACTCAAAGAGTCTTTGACGCAACAAGTTTGTAAATTATTGAGTAAAAGTTGATAAAACAAACTTTGTCTTGTTAAATAAGGCTAGAGGTAATCCATTTGCAAAAGGGACAAAAGTGAGATGTCTTTGGCGGTTGGAGGATGTCGCTTCAGTCAACCTCACCTATGAATGGAAACAGGCCAACGGGATCTATAGCTTCGTCTTATTTAGATTTAGTTTGACCTAAATTTTTAATAAATAATTAAAATTTATTTTTTTAAAGTTTATTTAAATAAATAAATTAAGTCTGAATTATTTATAAAATTTGTTAAATATGACATATATATATATATATATATATATTAAAAATAAAGCTGTTAAAATGTATTTAAATAATAAAGTTATTTAATAATATATTTTTATATTTTTAATTTTATTATTTTTAAATTAATATATTATATTATAATTTTTTATTTATAATTATATTAAATAAAAATTATATTCTATAAAAATTAAAAATATTTATACATAATTATAATTTTTAAAAAATAAATTTATTTAATAATAAATGATCATATTTATTACATTTAAACAAGTTAAAAAATAGTTAAGTCTTTCAAAAGAAATAAGACGCAATCAAAACTAAACGAAATAAAATTTATAAATGAAATAATAATATTATATTAATATATTTTGTATATTTTTAATTTTATTATTATTATTATTTAATTATTATATTTAATTATTTTTCTTTATAATAAATAGAAATTATTTAAATATGAATTATATTTTATTTAAAACTAAAATTTTATAAAAAATAATAAAAAAATAAAATAAAAAATTTAATATATAATACATACATACATACATACATATATATATATATATATATATATATAAAATAGGACCGTATAGTAAATAATATAAATAATTAATTTTAAATAAATTATATATAATAATATATATTTTTTGTAACTTACTATGTGATTTATTTTTATTGGTATAAATTTTTTTGAGTAAAGTACCTATAAAAAAAAATTTAGATGTCATGTCCACAACACATAGTCACACACCTAAATATAAGTATGTCAAATTTGATAATTAAAAAAATATTTATACAAACAACAAAATATGAATATTTTTCTTTATCTTTTCTTAAGCAATGTTATTGGTCTACAATTGTATTCACTACATCATAACAAATCACAAACCTAGCACAACCACATACCTTTGACCTAAAGCTGTTGTCGCTGCTGTTCATCTTCATCTTCTTCCTTAGATCTCGTTGCTGTCCACTTCTATAATATAGTTAATTTTACGTGTATTTGTTAATTTAAAAATAATAAATTAATGAAGTAAATAAAATTAAATATTTTGTAATTATTTTATTTTTTAAAGTTAATAGTTACTATTATTGTCATTATATATATATATATATATATATTGCATTGAGTTTAAATTTATTTATTTTTAAAATATAATAATTTTTTTAGCTGATTCAAAAAATTGTGTGAGTGTTATTTTTGTAATCAATTTTATGTGTTTACTATGACTTTATTTGTTG